CAGACCCGACGCCGCGTCGGGGCCCCGCCCGTCGCGCGGGCGAGCGGGAGGGCCTCCACGACATTCCACCGGGCCTCCCACGCGGCCGCGTCGGGGTCGTACGCCTGCAGGCGGAGCCCGGTCCGGTCGTACGGCCCTTCCGCGCAGAGCACCCCGAGCCGTCGGACGCAGCTGAGGTCGACCTGGAGTCGCGCCTGCGCGTGCAATTCCGACCGCACCCGCGGGATGACGGCGTCGAGGAGGTGCACCCCCACCAACTCCATCGCCCGGGCGCGCTCCAGGTACCACGCCTCCCCCTCGTCCGGCGTGGGGGCCCGCTGGTAGAGCCGTTTCGCGTTCAACAACCGCGTGACCAAGGCCTCATCGAGGACGTAGTGCAGGTCCACCTTGCCCTGACGCTCGAGCTGGAGGAGGTCCAGGTAGTGCCGGGGGTTCTCGACGAAAAAGCTGGATAACGGGTAGATCTCATCCAGCCGCCGGACCCCGCGGTAGGTCACGATGAGATCCCCTTCCGAGCTGAACAAATCGATCACCCGGCGGCAAAGGACGGGCAGCTTCGAGAACTGATCCACGATCGCGCTGTTAAAGAGGGAGAGGATGTAACCCCCTCGACGAGGGGGCGTCAGGCGGCTCCCGACCTGCTCCGCCCACTCATGCGGCGAGATGTGCTGCGCGGAGTAGGAAGGGCAGAGGTTGATCGGCGTGTTCGTCAGCAAATTTTCTTGATACTGGAGCCCCGTGATGCTGTATTCCTCGAACTTATCCTCCAACCCAAGGGCGCGGACGGTGTGAAAGGCGCCACGCTGCGAGACCCCGATGAGCATCTGCACGAAGCGATGCCACACCACCACCTCCACCGAGCTTTCGAACACGATGCTGTCGAGCAGCGCGCGTTGATCCTGCACGCGAGCCTCGGTGGCGTCCTTCAGCATGATCAACATCTGCTGCCGGGAGTGCTCCAGTTTATGGCAAAGCACATCCAACTCCAAAATCCGCACGAGGAGGCGGCCGAGCTCGATAAAACAGGGCTTTCGCTGGGCGTAGGCGCTCTCAATAACGCCCGGCGGCCACGCGGGGTCGCCCTCGCCGATGGAATTCGCACAACGCGAAGGGAAACCAACGTAGGCGTCGGAAATAATCGGCCGCTGACGACGCCCCGTGTGGAGGCTGTAGGCGTAGGACGCGACCGGGAGGCTTTGCTCCGCCGCCTTCACCAAATCCGACCCTTCCAGAAGCGCGCAGAGCAACGGGTGAAGCTCGGATTGGTAGTAAAGCATGAGATAGGCGGGTTCGAGATGCTCCCGCGTCATTTTCCGCAACGCGAAGGCAATCGCCACGAGCACCGGCTCGTCCTGAACTTCCGCGAGGGTGTGGCTCGCCAGCGCGCAGATACGCGTGTTGTGCGCGAGGGGCTGCCCCGCGTTGCGAAGTTGGCGGAGAATCCAGTAGGCCTCATTTTCCAGCGGGATTTCGTAGGTAAAGCCGCCCCCTAACGTCTTCGGGCCCAACAACGGCCGCTTTTCGAGCTCTTCGATCTCGTGAAGTCGCTCTGGAAGGGTGTCCGCGGTATCCAGCCGATCCTCCAATCCTAGACGCTCCAGCTCGAGCCCGACGACTTGTTCGGTGGGGTAACGATGGACGCCAGCGTCCTCTTCGTTGGGGACCCGCTGCGTTGTGTCGATCCAGTCCAAGAACTCTTGATCCTGCGCCAGCTGGTCGTCTTCTTCATCGAATTCTAATTCCTCCTCATCCTCTTCATCATCAAAGCGCTCGCTTTCATCTTCCCCACGCAGCTGCCGTTCCTCCCGCCGGAGCTCTTCCTTTAGACGCCTCTCACGCTCTCGCTCCGCCACTGTGCGCAGACGCTGTCGGGGCGTGTTCTGTTTTTCAGTGGTGTTGTCACTTGGAAAGCTAAAGATGACCTTCATAAAGGTTTCGTGTAAACGCTCAGTGCATAAGGACGGATCCGTGAGATTCGACACCCAGAGGGCGCCTGCTAGAACATCCTCAATCGACGTTGCAACCAACTCGGCACCGTCATCGTTCTTTGAGAGCATGGCTTTAACAATATTCAAAAAATGAGCAGTATGATGCTTCAAGAAACAAATATAAAGGGATGATAAAAAGAAAAGTGAATGGTGCAGCAAATAATAAGTGTAAGTAATGAATAGAGAAAATCAATGAAATTGGTATAGAATTCATAGTAATACTTCAATGGGATTTTTTTTTCGAAAAAAGAGCACTTCGGCATATGCACCATCAGTTGACTAGGTTAGGGTTGGAAAGACACAACATTCCGAGTAGGTATCTAAGAAAAAATATAATAAAACTAAAAAACTATGACTTTTAAGTCATCAATGGCGATACCATAATAATAATTAAATAAGATACGATAATTAGACTAAAAATGAAGCTTTCTATACAATAAAGTTCTAAATATAAATATAAAATATTCAACAACTTATAGACGTCAGTCGCCTGTAGATCAACAAGGTGTCTTCCGTATTTTCAAGCAGCTTCACCTAAGACGTTCCAGTTAATGACTTTGTCATGCCACATGTGGAGAGAGATCTAAATGCTTCATAAAAGATAATCAATTTCGCTAGGTTGCACTGCTGGGGCCCCTTGAGTAATACAAAAGGTTATCCATCACCCGTTCTGTTCTCTTGTCATCACCTCTCCAAATCGTATCCACTTCAGCCTCGGAATGATAACCAATCAATGCTTCAGGATACTCGCCACCAGGACGGATGGATAAAAGCTGATCTGCATGATTACATATCAGCCCCGATAAATATTTACAGAAAGGGCGTGCATATAAGTATCTATGAGAAATGCATAATTTCTATGAAGAGTTGTGCTTCTTGAAGTATGCTTGTTTTCCTAAATATATTAAAAGATAAATTTATGACAAAATGGAAATGCTTGCCTAGAATTTAGTTAGTTCATATAATATTTTTTATCTCAAAAAGAATATAGGTAACTGAAAAAGAGTGCCAAAGTGCCATTACATGGTTTTTTTTACTAAGAACAAGGCACAGAATTAAATAATGATGATAAAATAAACAGTATTTTCTCCTCACGAAGCTTAGCGTGAAAGGGTAGATAGACAGATGATCATAGAGCTTCACTAGAGGATTTCCATATAACATATTCTCCCCCCCCACACACACACACATACTGCCTTCTCTCTTTAATAGGAACATAGGAAAAGGAAAGGAAACTTTAAATATACATAAGTAATACAATTCATACATCTTATCTCCAAAATAGTATGCATGGGGATGAAAACGAAGACATTAGCTCAATACTATATTGTCAATGACGCTTTCCAAGCGTATCGATTTGGAAATAGTTAAAACTGCCAAGCTTTGACAGCATTAGAGTGTGGTTCACCTTTAATACTTGTAAGGGGGAAATCTAATGAGTACATTTCAAAGTACTCTCAAAGAGCTTAACTTTACTAAGCCCTCCCATCCTTTCATGTTTTAAGGAGAAGTTGACTCTAATGTGATCTTAGGCTTTTATTTTTACATGGTATACATTTTTTAACATGCAAAATTTTTGTTTTACACGTATCTCCCCCTGGTGTAAAAAAATATTAAAATCGCTTCGCGATTGAGGTACAAAGGGGGGGGGGGGGGGGAAGAGAGGAGACAAAGAACTCACAATTTATGAAAGTAAAAGAAAACAAAGGAAAATACAGAAATAAAGTTTTAAAATACAGTAAAAACTATATGCATAGGAACACCAAAATCGTTACATTATCGAAACAAAGAACAATAAAATGATACAGCTACTAAAATAAAGCGTTGCGTTACTCATAGATCTCACATGCCTATCAGAAATGAAAAATAATGCATAAATTTCAATGTAATAATAAAAAAGTATGTATTTTACGATGAATTCTAAATGCATAACATAAACACAGTTTGAAACAGTAGTTCGGGCATGTCAGCTAATGATTCACGCATACAAACTAAGCCTTGTAAACGTGACGTAGTAAAAAACCCTTATGATTTGATCAACTAACTAATGAAATATGGGCGGAAAACGCGCTGCGTGTTGTTTAGATTTTGAATTAGATGAGAGAGGAATGTCTCTTTTAGCTTTTTGAGGGATTGGGGAAACATTCACTCCGCAAACCTTTTCTAAAGAGTCAGCTCCCTTGTGCGTAAGGTCTTTCCTCTTTACCTGCAGACGTGCGCGCCTCTTCCGGCAAATGGCTTCCCTTAGTTCACGAAGATTCACACGCTGCTTTTGGGCGGATAAAATGCGGCCTGGTTGAAACCCAGGCCGCACACAAAAGGCTCCACCTTTAGTGGTGGCTTCATGATCCTTTGATCCGGATAACCTATGATGCTCTTGGTGTCGTGGATCGGTAGACGAGGTCTGGTGCTTTTGGGCCTGAGGTATAATCGGTAAAGCGACACCTTTTTTTTCTGTTGAAGGAGAGGTATTTGATATGTAATCGGCGTTTCGTGTAACCCCCACAGGCGGATTTCGAATGTTCGGGAAACGTGTCCCAGAGCTGGAAAAGGATTGTCGAACATGGGTTGGCTCTGTGTGGCTCGCGTTGTGTAAAGGAGGTTCAGGTGTGTAACGGGCTACCTGTGTGTGAGCAGGGTCACTCGGTACTGTTGGCGCTCTGCTTAGGGGTGGAGAAACGTTTGAATCGACAATTTTGTCGTAAAGAGACCAAACATAATGAAACTCGTACATATCCAACAGCATATCGATTTCCTCCTTGGTCTGGGTGGCTAAATGCAACACATGGCAGTTGACAATGACATTCTCCGGGCTAGATGTATAGTTTATAATGCTCACACTTTTCGGAGCCACGTTGAGCGCACGTGAAGCGTCAAAAACGAAAGCCTCAGAGAAACCTGGCCAGTTGTTTTCCACAACCTGGACCCATCGACTTCCGATAAATCCGACAGAATGAAAGGTAATTCTCATAACATCGATGTTTTCCAACGAAACCACCTCAAAGTACAGCCCCCACGTGTTATCGTATGGGATTGTCCGCAACACATGGTCCACGTCCTTAGAGCTCATCGTGGCCGGATGACTCACCTTAAATTTTATAATGATACTCCCCTTCGCCTCATCCAGCTCGATCTTGTCCAAGGAGGAAAAGGTAAAGTCGTGGACAAGCCCGATGTCGCGCAGAAACGCCTTGACGATGCTATCGTACTTCGAGGACAGCACTACGGTCCAGCGCTCGCCGATGAAGCCGACGCGATGCCACGTCGATCGTACCGCCGTGGACGAGGGCACCTCCGGCAGGTCCTTCCGCACCCGCACGGGATGGTCGACCGGCTGCAGGGAACGCCACCGGGGAGAAGGCTCCAGGACCGAGCGCGGAATGGATGGTTTGTGTGGTCGCTCCCTTGAATCATTTCTGCGATCGAAAGAATCATCCCGAAGCATGTCAGTAGAGGAAGACACCGAATCAATCGTCTCCACCACTGGAAGAGGCGAAATTTTCTCCAGTCCCATAGAACTAAAAGACGGCCGTGCTTTCTCATCCAGTGGAAGAGGTTGCTCTCGCGCTTCCGCTCGCCTTTGTGTGCGTTGATTTTTCAATACCAATTCCAAGTCTAAATAGTACTTTTCAGCAGACCGATACATTTCCCACACTTCCAAATAGGTATGATGCTCAAGAATCTGGTCAATATTCTCCTTACTGGGTGTTCCAGCACAATGCTGAAGGGAAAAAGTAGATATTAGACTACCGGCCCTGCATTCAAGCTCGGTTATCTGTGACCCAAGCACACCAATCGCGCTCGCAATATCACGACGCATCGCACCACAAAGGTCGTCATAGCAATTCGAAAGCAAATGTGGCCATAGGTTCCCATCCAGATGCACTTTATGCTGAGAAATACCATTAAAATCGTCCGTTAGAGGTGGAGCAGGATCCTTCAAGCTAGAATCCACATCAAACGGACCGACTGTTGAACGCAGACTATGCTCAAATGACGATAGTTCCACTTTCGAAGTTGACTTGTTTTCACTCAAAGGCTTCGCTAAAGCCACAGAATCTGCAAGAGAAGTGGGAAGACCCAAACCCTGACTCAGAGTATCTGACGTTCTAGGCTTAGATGGAATTGAGTCCTGAAACTCCGTACCAATACTAGGCAGAGATTTGGGCGCCACAGGTGTCGCCTCGTTCAGCAGCCGTGGTAGCAGCTCATCCTCCGCATGCAACACTGGCAGGCGTTCCTGGATCTCGTGGGCATAGTACTCCGGCACAGCAATCTCCTCGCTG